CAAACGACGAGACTGCCACCGATAACCTACACGGGGCGCTTCTCCTTAGAGCCAGCCCCCAACAGCAGCAACCCCCTATGGCCAGAGCCCCTCTTCAGCCTCGTCAGTGGACTGGTGGGCATGGCTAATGCACCTCCCACATCTACGCCTACTTCATCATCGCCATCCTCCTCCTCGCAGAGCTCCCCACTGAGCTGTTCGGTCCAAGCCAGCGAGAATAATCCAATTTATTCAGCTGCACCAACATTTCCCAATTCCAGCTCTGACATTTTTCCTGAATCCCAGACCCAGTCTTTTCCCAACCCCTCTGGAGCTCCCATCCAGTATCCACCTCCAGCTTATCCGACTGCTAAAACCAACTTTCAGGTGCCAATGATCCCGGATTACTTGTTCCCTCAGCAACAGGCTGAGCTCAGTCTTGTTCCAGCTGATCAGAAGCCTTTTCCAGCTCTTGAGACCAGATCACAGCAGCCTTCCCTCACACCACTGTCCACTATTAAGGCATTTGCTACGCAGACTGGCTCCCAAGAACTGAAGACACTCAATGCTAATTATCAGTCCCAGCTGATCAAGCCCAGCAGGATGAGGAAATACCCAAACCGTCCCAGCAAGACACCTCCTCATGAGCGTCCCTATGCCTGCCCAGTGGAGTCCTGTGACCGGAGGTTTTCACGATCTGATGAGCTAACACGGCACATACGCATCCACACGGGACAGAAACCTTTCCAGTGCCGCATTTGCATGCGGAATTTCAGCAGGAGTGACCACTTGACTACGCACATCCGCACACACACAGGAGAGAAGCCATTTGCTTGTGACATTTGTGGCAGAAAGTTTGCCAGAAGTGATGAGAGGAAGAGGCACACTAAAATCCACCTTAGGCAGAAGGACAAGAAAGTGGAAAAGGCAGCTCCAGCCTCAACTGCTTCCCCAATTCCTGCCTATTCATCCTCTGTAACTACATCCTACCCTTCCTCCATCACCACCACTTATCCCTCCCCAGTGCGCACAGCGTATTCTTCTCCTGCTCCCTCTTCCTATCCCTCCCCGGTGCACACCACATTCCCATCCCCTTCTATAGCAACCACTTACCCCTCTGGCACCGCCACTTTTCAAACCCAAGTGGCTACTTCCTTCTCATCTCCAGGAGTCACCAACAATTTCAGCTCACAGGTAACCTCAGCACTTTCAGACATAAACTCAGCCTTTTCTCCAAGGACAATTGAGATCTGCTGATCCAGATCTTCTGGAACAGGAGAATTCAACTTTTCCATTTGTATTATCAGACATGGAGTCTTCAATTACTCCCACAACACCATACGTTGCAAGGCTATTTAGTTTAAACTTCAGCTGCCTGAATCAACTGCTGCTTAAGTTTGCCACCTCTGTTGAATGACTTAATTTGCATGGACTGTGGGTATAAGTTCAATATAATTTTCCCCGTAAACAATAGTCTTTTATTAGGAAGAAAGGACTTTTGATTAAATATCTAGCTGATGTAAATTGTACATGTGCCATGGTTTTGCTTTCCTTTAGGTACTATTGATGTGGAAAAAAATCTTTGCCTATTCAGATTGTATAATTTGGAGTTTGCAGGGCCATATTTTGTCAGTGTTAATTCTATTTCAGTGACAATGCTATAATGCGTTTCAAACTTCTTTGGGAACAGCACTTAATGTATTTGAGTATGTTGGAGTGATGCTATGTAATTATCACCTGATGAGACACTCACATGTGGCAGAAGTTTTGTTTTAAAAGTTACAAGTCTTGGTGCCTTTTCGTGAAGCCTTGCTGACGTCATGCGTTTGTGTGAGTGGATGCTTTGCATCTTGCCTTAACGTGGAAGGGATGTTACTCAAAGAATGTAAGGAAGAGCAGGGAATGGGTGGGGAGAGGAGCAAGAGAAAGGGCCAGGGGATGGAATGTAAGCAAAAAAAAAAAAAACAAAAAAAACCCCCAAAACAACCAAAAAAAACCAAACCCAACAAAAAACCAAGAACTAACAATCAGAAAAAAAGCCCAAACAAAAAGAAATCCCCACACCCTCTCCCCCTCCACCTCTCAAAGTCTATTTTTGTTACAAAAATGTAAATTTATATATATATATATATATTCAGGAGTTGGAATGTTGTAGTTACCTACTGAGTAGGCAGCAATTTTTGTATGTTATGAACATGCAGTTCATTATTTTGTGGTTTATTTTTACTTTGTAATTGTGTTTGTTAAAATGAAAGTGACTGTTCGGCTTCTAAACACATTGAATGCGCTTACCTGCCATTGGGATATTTGGTGTACAATACCCTTCAGAAAAAAATAAATAAAACATCAAATTGTGCAGACTTACACTTTCCTTGAAACCGACTCCTTTAGTTGCTTCAAAGCCAACACGTAACCACTTATCTCCTGGAAAAAAATACCTGTTTAAAGAAATGAGATTAAATCAATCTTATGTTCAGTTGCTTGCAAAAAGCATGGATGGTGAACTCATATCTTTACATTAGGTGCATTACCACCTCATTTGAAGTAGCCACAACTGCTGTCTTCTGGCTTCTCCAGAGCTAAACTTAGACAGACAATTCTTACAGCGCTGAAATTGAAGTTAGAAAATTAGAATCTCAGCTGTGTTCATAGGTAGGCAGAAATCTTACTAGATGTCAAAATAATAGAGCAGTTTCTAGGCTGGAAATACAGTAAGGTCAGTCATAAGGGCGAGTTGACAGAAGACAGCCTTGGTTAGCTGAGGGCTGCCATAAGTTCCTCCTTGACACAACCAAGGGCATATACAGGTGTTTCAGTATTTATAGGAGAAAACACTTCCTTCCCTGGTGGCTTGAAATGCATTTCAGGAGTTATGTGACCAGAGCAGACTGAATTCAGAGGAAATTGGATCCATGAGAGCTGGTGGTGCAGGTGCAGAAGAGGGTTCTGATGTTTCTCGTTTTGGGTAGGCTCTCTACAAGATACTTATGTTTAAGGTTGTGACTAGCTGGAAGAAACAGGACTTGATTAATGTACCTAGCACAGTGTAAACTGCCTAGCAACCTCTGCCAGACACAGTGTTCCCTACTCTTACCAAAATTGACTGTACTGGCTAGGAAGTCCCAATTCTAGTCCTTCTCCTCAGGTATGAAGACCACCTCTGGCAAAAGATACCCAAGATCTTACCACTTGATTTACTGCAGACTGGTATATCCCAGTCTGTCATCAATCAGGCAGGACTGTTCTCAGAGGACAGGGACAAGATGTCCCTGTGGGCAGAGCTGTGGGGAGAGGCCTGTGCAGCTTTGTCTCTGTTCTGGCCTATGCCTGCAGTGCTGTATGTATTTCTGCAAGCTGCTAACAGGGATTTTGCAGCTGGCCCTGCTGGGCTTTTTCAGAAAAACTTGATAACTCTTTTCAACCCAAGGGGCTCTGGCCTCTGTTCAAGACAGGTTGATTGGCAAATGGAATATGTGGCTTCAGACTATCTGAGCATATAAGGCATGTCAGAAGTCACAGAATTCCCCCTATGGGAGACAAGACAATGAAGAGTTTCCAAATGGGATCATTCAAAGAAGGCAAATAACATTGCGTACAGGTAACAATAAAATTTTTGCCTACATCCATATCCCAAAGTCAAGAACAAAATAACATTTGGAGTCAGGTTATTCTGATCTGTGAGTACTGCTCTGTTCATATGTATAGAATAGAATAGCTAAGTTGAAAGGGACCCAAGGCCTACAATAGACATCTAGTCCAACTGCTATTACGGATACGTATATTACAATGTACAAATGTCACTTCAATACTGATAGGCTTGAGGCACTGCACACCTCTTTAGGAACCCTGTTCCCCCTCAGTAAAGAAATTTTTCCTAATGTGAAGTTTGAACTTCTCCTAATGCAGCTTTGAGATTCTCCTGTGTGTGGTGTCCTGTCACTGGATACCACAGGGAAGATCAGCACACCCTCCTCTCCACTTCTCCTACTCAAAAAAAAAAAAGTAGATGTTGGTGTCTTTTCAAGCTCATATCTGTTAATTCATGGTCTAGCCTTCTGGGATTTTGATTGTGCTAAAAACCAACTATGTAGGCTCTCAAGCAATGCTTAATGAGCCCGAGGGTGCCTCAGGCTCTCCAGAGCATTTTGAAATGAGTAATTTCCATGCCTAAAGAGTTAAAAACAAGATAGGTTCTCTTTTGTGCATTGTGTGAAAAGAGGTCCAAGTCAGGCAGTAGTGCTTAGCTATACAGGAATGAAGGCTAGTGCACTCTTGCTAGCATAACATAAAGGAAATAAATGCATGAGCTTTCTGCATCCGCTTTTGTCCCATAAAACTAAAACTGATTTCAGGGAAGAAACATGCGTTATGAGAAAGCATTGCCCGTATATCTTCTGCAAGATCTTTCGTTTGCTGTTGGCCTGAACACAGGATTTCTGGTTCTTAAAAAGTTTGTTTCTAGTCCAATTAGTAGGATGAGTCGGTTTCAAGGAGTTTGTTCCCAAGGAAACAGCAGGTGTTATCAGTGGCCAGGAAAACCCTCCCCCTGTAGGAAGTGCAGCGGCGAGGAAGGAAGCGAAGACCTCTCGCTTTTGCGTTTAGCCGCAGAAGACCCATTTGCTCGGAACTAAACCTCAGCTGTTTGTGATTTAAAGCCCAGTTGAGATCTGACCGCTAGCGACAGGAACGGCCGCCCGGCGTGGCTCGGAGGAGACACCCCCCCCCCCCCGCCGCGCCAGGCTCCAGCGCTCGCGGAGCCGCGCCAGCGCCGGGAGCGCTCTGGGGGCGGTCCTGGCTGAACACAAGCACCGTCCCCGCTGTTCCCCGTCCGGAACCGCACCGACCATATTTGGAATTTCCTGCACGCCTTTTATGGAACTTCCGAGGTCCAAAAAAGGAGTTTCCTGCTCCGGCATTCCGGGGTTGCGCCGCGCAGCCGCCGTGATACGGCCGCGCACTCGCCCGCCCCCTCCCCTCGGGAGGCCCCCGCCGGTGGGGGCGGGCCCGCGCCGGCCGCGGGTCACGCGCCTCCGGGGGGCGGAGCTCCGCGCGCGGCGGGCTGAGCGGCGGGCCGCGGCTCTCCGTGGGGCTGGTAAAGGCCGCTGGAGCACAGGCACACCATCGGATACCGTCTAACCAGAGGCCGGTGACCTTGTCCACCCAGGCTTTTGCTCTGCAGACCCTTTCCGTAAGTGACTGTTTACGTGGGGAAGTGTAGACAGTCCTCGACTATGTGGCTGATTTGCGCTTTAATTGTACTAGAGAAAAATGATTGTTCGGTTTTCTTTTCCCTTAGAAAGAAGGAGCTGAAAATTAGTTCGAGCGTACTCGGAGCCCAGTATCGGCTATGGTATGCTGTGTGGCCTATTGCATTATGTCCTTTTGTTTTCTAATAATGCCACTGGAGACTTTCTGTAAAGCTGGTAAAATGAACTGTTACAGATATTTCTGCTGTGACTGTGAACTGCTCTTACGAAGTAAAGCCCTGACTGAAGAGACGAGACAACACGGAGAAAAGAGAGATCTAGGCAGAGACTTCGTAGTGAAGAGGTATGTGGGATCGTCGGCCTTGTTTTCCTTTAGGGCTTTCACTCGTACGTGTCCGGACTTCGTGCATCTGAACAAGACCTCAGTAGCCCCAAGAAAAATAACTTTGTAGACTCTAAACTGGTAGCTGGCAGATTGCTGGCAGATGCTCTTAGAAGGGCAGTCCCCAAGTAGGTGCTCAGCACTGTCGGATTGGACTAAAGCTGAGTGCATTGACTGAAGGCTGGCTCATGAAGAGTGTCTTTGACCCATTCTAAACCAAACTATTAACTAGAACTGACCCCTTCTAAGGCAATCTGCACTGTTAACTAGGGCTAGCATATTTGGTGACTTTTTGGTATAAGTGACTATTTATTTCAAATGTGTTCTGTTTGTGACTCAGTAGTCTTTAGAATTCTTAAGAGTTTTGAGTGTAGATAATAAATTTATGAAGAGGGCTTGGTGGTGTGATCGTTGAACTAAACATCCCATGTTTTTACCTGTGTACATTACCTTAATGTAGCCTTAATAAGTACTGTTTAAACTTAGAAAAGAGATTGCATGTTTTAAAGTGCACAGAGACTCTAGGACGAAATGTGAGATGTAGCTAAAGAACAAGAACTTCAAAAATAGTTAAGTTTTTCTGCTATAATCAAAGATCAGCCTTGACCAATAGCCTAATGATTTAGGGTCTTGAATGAAACTCTTCTATATAACTGAGGCTGATGCTTATACGTGATCTCTAGCACTTTCCAGGTTTCAATTTGTGATAATTTTTCATCATTGTCATAACAAAAATGGTGATTACACAGAAGTATTTTCAGTGTATATATTTCACTTCCATAAATACAAAAAGCATTATCAAAATATCCTTTTTGATCCTTTTTTTTTTTTTAACAATCCTTTTCTTTTATGATCTTTTCATAGCCCATTTTTATATCTCTGAACAGGAATAACGTTACACAATAATACTACCAGTAAGTGTTGATAGTTGAAAGTTCTGCTATTTGTGTCCTCTGTTAGGTTGACCTACCTGGCTAATATGGTGTGACTTCTCTTATCCCAGCTGCTATGATAGTGGGCTTCTGTAGCAGTACAACTGTTGATCAGTAAGAGATCTGCGAACGTCGGAGTTGGAGAGATGGGGAGAAAGAGTTTCAATATGATCGTTAAAAGGCACAGAATACTTTCATCCTTTTGGTAAGATGCAGTTAAAACTTTAAAACAGACTGAGCGTTATGTTTTATGTCCGTGGCTGTTTTTCAATCTGACCAGGTTAGTTGGGGATGGCTTTATAAGCCCATGAAAACATGTTATATAATGAATATCTAAAATATGTTTATCCTAATTGCTGCACTTGTTTGGCTGCACCAATGGGTGTAGCTCTCAGGTTATCAATCAGAATGTGCCCAGCTACGTAGCGAGTCACTGAACTGCCTGGCGCATTCTGACCTGTGACATTCTGTGTGCTTAGTGTGTGAGCTGGACCTAGGTGCCTAGGTTTGCCTGGATTTAAAGGAATTCTAGTCGCAGCTGCCTTGAAACACTTTTAAACACGGCGTAGCAAAATCTAAACATTAGTCAAAGAAGTGTGATTAAGCTATGGAGTGAATGAGTTTGGTTTTACCATTTTTAATGCTTTTGACTATATTTTTCTTTAGAATACTTGAAAGAATACTTGAGCATAAGGAAATGAAGGGACAGGCTCGATTTAGTGAATCTTCTTACCAATTTCTTTGAACAAAATGTCAACAGTGGATCTTAGAATACTGTCTAAAAACTTTCTTCCTAATTAGCCAGAGAATTGGAGTTGGAAATGGGACAAAAAGTTGAAGGGAATGTACAGCAGCATCAGCATTTCGTTCCGAAGATACTTTTGGTTAAAGCTTTTGGATGTGAATCTTAGGTTCTGTTTGTGGAAATAAGCTTGAGAATTATGTGAAGCTGCATTCAAATGAACTGGAATACATCCGTGAGGCACTGAATTTAAAGGCAGAAGGTATCCATACATCTCATGTCTTTCTTAAGGAGGAGGTTTTTTTGCGCACAAAACAAGCCACCTGAGGTGTTTTAATGGTAGTTATAATGTGCCACAGATCTCTAGGGTCATAAAATGAAGACATTATGATTTTTTTAAAAAAGCAAGCCTACATTAAAATACAGTAGCTAATAAACAAAGAAACACTGATGGTGTTTGTTAAAAGAATTGTTGTAGTCAAAAGGAGTTCAGTGACTGGTCCATTGTTCAAGACAGCCCAGGAATATTTTTCTGGTGATTGTGACCTGTGGCTGATAAATTTTATGAGCCAGAGGTCATATCTTTGCACATTTCATCTATTGTTGTCCAAGTGGTTTTTTTAATCTCTACAAGGTTTTAGCATTCACAATATCTTGATGGAAAAGTGAATTTTACAATGTCCAGGTGCTGCATAAAGAAAGAGAGAGAGATGTGTGTTCAAACCTGGTACTTCCTAATGTCATTTGATACCTTTTAAGACTTATATTATAGAAAATTATGAATAGTACCACTTCCATGATAACTGCTGAACTTTGTCATGCTTTTCCCAATTTGCTTTCTGATTGAAGAAGCAGAGTCTATTTTGTACAGCAGCTGATCTGTATCTTATTTCATACATGCATATCTTTTAGTACCTTTTGTCATATTGTGACCTCATTTCAGAGAGGCAGAGATGCGTTATACACCATATTCAAGATGGAGGAGCAATGTGGATTAATTGTAACATGATTTTTATCCCCCCTCCTATGTTTCCTATTCTTTCACAAGTATTTCCAAGTTTTCTATCTGACTTTTGATCAATGAGCTTTTAAACCTAGTAATTATCAAGATCCCGTTTTGGTTGTAACAGGTCTCAGTTATGACGATGTGTAGTGTTCATTATTCAGTGTTTAACGTTCAAACCTTGAACATCTATCCCCTGTGTGTCTTGGTTTATTTTTTGCGTTATTCACACTGAAATGCATCAGAACCTTTACTGTTCATTCCCACAATATTGTTAGTCCCTGCAGCAATGCTGTAGGGGCATTTTTTTAATTACTTCAGGAAGACATTGCTAGAAATCTCTTGCCTTGCTATCCACCTGACTTTTTCAAATCCTCTGTAAATATGGTTTCCTAGGGCTAATCAGAGATCTCTGACTGAACCCAGTAGCAATTTTTACTCATCTATGAACTAGCCATTTATTCAGTTTCTTTTAGCTTTTTAATGAATTGCTTCTCTAGGGGAGAACTGTTCCTGTTGTCCCACACAAGTCTTTGAGTGTTTGTACTGGGCAGGTTCTGGAAATCCAAATACAGTACATCAGGTGATGTCTGTATGTTCACCCATAATTCCAAATAGTTCTAAAGGATTTGTCAGGCATGAATTTCCTTCGCAAAAACTGTGCTGATGTTTATGTACATTTACTACTTACTACTACTCATGCGTGTGCAAATTCTTCTAGCTTGCTCTACTAGTATAGTTCTACTAGCGTGCTTAGAGTGGACATAAGATTTATAAGCCTGGAACTCTGAAAATTTTAATTAAAAAATCATGTTGTGTATGGTACCATCCAATCTCCTAGTACAGAGATAAAACATCACAGGTACTCTGCTTGTTATTTCATCCTCAAGTTGAGCATTTAAGGGAAATACCTTATGGCCTAATGACTTGTTGTTTTGATGGCTTAATCCCTTCTGTAATCTGTTCTACAGACATTACAGTTTTAAATAGTCTGTAACACCTGTAAAGGAAATGTATGGCACATAAACTTTTCAAAGTTTGTCTGTAATAAAATGGGTGTGACAGTCACTTCTGGTGCCTCCCTTGAGTTTTGACCATCTGCTTGCCTTATGAATACTTCGATAGACCTTACAGTCCCTGATGTGTATGGGAAGGGAGTCACCAGTTTTTTTCCTGTCTGCAAGCGGTTTTCTCCAAGCCATATTTCTGGCCTGCCGTATTGTGTTTTAATATGACAGTTTTGCGACCGTGTCTTGTTCTTCTGCATCTCATAATAATTTCCACATTTTGAGGGATGTTGTCCTCTCCCTTTGTCAGAAAAATTATTTTGGATTGGTTCTTAGCCTTTTCTAGTAGGTAATAAAGGATGATTGCTGATATGATTTATTAAAAATATTTTTCTCTTACTGGAAAATATTTTTACTTTTCAAGCTACACTACTACTTTATTCAAAATAAAAGGTTAAATGTCCCATTGTAGCAGATACCTGGATTTTGTTGCTCTTGTAAGGATGTCGAACTGGTCTTGTGTTTTGATGAATGCCGTTTATACTTAGGAAAATACAAAAGTTTGTTTATATGACCAAAACTGTGTGCTTTTCAACACTTCTTGGCTTTTCTGTTGTTCTTAGGTTAAACTCTCCTGCCCCTTTTTCTTTTTTTTTTATTGTCAATTTCAGTATCCTGATGGTGTGTGGCTTCTGCTGAAGGACATACCTCCTATAGGGTCCATCTGTTTTTGAAGATTTCTGTAGTTCCTAATGATTCTGAATCCCTCTTCCTTGCACCTTTTTTTTTTTTTTTTTTTTTTTTTTTTTTTTGTGTTTTTTTTTTTTTTTTTTTTTTTTTTCTTTTTTTTTTTTTTTTTTCCTAGCCATAAATGGCCATTTGCATTTCTGGTCCACTGTTTGGTAGCGAGAGCATAAAAAAGAATCTCACACAAACAAGACCCAACAAAACAAAATCTGTCAGGAAGACCTTATCCAAAACATGAAATTGAAGACTAAGGCCTCCCTGACAGGGATGAAGAGCCCAAGTAATTTGTATTAATGTGCTAAACATTCTTTTCAGAAACTTTCCCTTTTTTTCCCGCAGCTGTTTGTATCCTTGCAGATAAAGACTAATAGAGTTAAACTAGCATATCCAAAATGTCTGCCCAAACTCCTCATCTGTTCCTATCATCTGTGCTTGTCTGACAATCTTAGGCAGCCGTTTTGATAATAATCATGTTGCATGTCACTACAGCCTGTGTCTCCTTTATGCATCCCTGACTTCAGGTGTGATGCTCAGTGACAAAGCCTTTGCCTTCTGTGAAGAGTCTGCCCCAGAATTGTTCTCCATTATCAGGAATGCACTTTTTTTTACCACTGGACTTTCTTCCTCTTTCATAATGCAGGTGTTGCCAGCTGTCACCGGGGATGTCCTTGAAAGGTCTTCTGGAGTTCCTTAGCATTGTGATCTAGACTTTTTCCATGTGGATCCTTCATTGCCTATATTTTGTGCCCCTGGACCTGGTAAGTCAATGGCTGGTGCAATGGATTTTGAATCCATTTGATTGATGTGATGTCATGGAGGTAAGAGAGGGGATCATAGTCACTGTTCATTTCCCCATTGCACAGGTCCTGCATCAAAGCCTCATCTCGTGTGTATTGTTACACTCAGAAGAAGAACGGGGTGGAAGAAGAAGACCCTGCTGTGGACGTGGAAGTGCCTGAGCTGGAGATATGCAGAGAACATCTGAATTCCATCCTTGCCCACTGGAACCCTGTTTTCCCATCAGCACCCTCCACACAGGGAGGGGAGACCCTCAGAGCTGGTGAGCGGGGCGGGGGGTGAGGCAGTGCTGTCACCCGTGCATCCGTTCACGTTGTCACTGAGTGGCTGGTGAGGTCTCTGGCTGGGCAGAGCCCCCTCGGGGAGCAGGACATGTCACCAGTGCCGAGGTGGCTACGGAACTGCGTCCCGCCACAGCCGGCGGCCATGCAGGAGATGCTCAGGGATGAGACGCTGAGGAACAGCCTCTTCAAACCTTGCACCCAGCTCTGCCGGGCCAGCAGCACCTCAGCTGGGCTCTCCAGGCAGCTCAGTGGGCTCAGTTCCATCGTGCTGCAGCTGATGGAGGAGCAGGGCCTGTCCAGCACCTTCCACGAGCTTGTGAAATCTCTGCGCCTACCACCAACGGTGGAAGAGGATGCGGACAGGACAGGTGACTTGTCTTGTTCTTATCACTCATGTTACGAGGCAGTGGTGGGAGAAACTAGGAAATTCCGTGGCTTTTTAAATCCATTCCATCAGCTCTCCCGTATCCACCCAGGCTCGTGGCTTCCCAAAGCAGAAGCTGTGTCTTTGGTGGGATGGGGCCTGGGGTGGGCAGCACAGTGCGTCGTCACACTGTGAGGTTTTCTGACACTACAACATTCCCACTCCCTCTAAGAAACTTCACTTTCAGGGTCTGAAATGGAATAAAAGGTGTAAAAGAAATATAAATCCAAGAGGGAGAATAGTCTGCAAAAAAACCCAGCTCCACATGGGCCTGGATGCTGATCCCTATTGCTGGTCAGTGAGAGCATCTGACAGCTCATATTTCCAACTGCTTTATTTAACAGGAAACTGGTTTGTTCCTTCTTGTGAGTAGGATTGTTGGCTTTGCATGGGCAAAGTCACTCCAGATTTTCCAGCTAGGAAAAGACTTGGGGAACTCTTTTAAAACATAGTCCTGGATGAAGCAAGCAGCTTGGCCTGGTAATCCTGTGGGGAAATAGAAGAATATCTGTTCTGATTTTTGTCTTCTCTTTTTTCCACAGCTGTTTCTGTATTCCTGACTTCCATTTACATTGGAAACATGTGGCTTGGAGCACAGGAGCCGGATACGTTACTTACCAATGTCAGATTGATCCTCACTAGTGCAGATTATGAGTTACAGGATGACTGAGACACTCGGAAACAAGGGGAAGAAACTCATGTCTCTTTGCAAAAAAAATTGGCTCCATCAGGGCATTAATTCAGGGGATTAAGGCTTCACCTTTAACATTCTGCTCTGCTCTGTCCTCATCGCCATGAACCGTGAGAGCCTCCTGAGCTGTTCTCATATAGACCTACATTGTTTGGTCAAAAAAAATCAGTATTTTATTACTGGGTGCAAACTCAGGGGAAAGATTTGATTCAACATCTCTCAGTGGTACATTAAAGCTCCAGTTTCCCGTTTCTTGAACAGTTTGGGGGGCAATATGTAATGTAGGTACAATTATGTTATTTTTAATACAGGCATTTTTATATTTTTCAAGAACCTGAAGGACTGTTTGTGTATGTGTGTGCCCTTCATATCCATCCTTTCTCTAATACAGGATGGGGAAAAAAGGCTGCAGAGCTTCCTACGCTGGGGTGTAATTGCAAAGAACCAGGAGACAGAGGTTTAGTCACCATGATGTACTGTTTCTTGGAGAGCCTGGTTGGTTTCCTGGTACCAAAACCAGTATGAATAGAAGACTGGACTTGGGAATAAGGATGGTCCTCTTGGGTTTAAAAAGCTTGAATGGCACTTAAAGACATTTATGTTAGATCTGGTTTATTTTTATTGTATTTATTTTATTAAAAAAAAAAAC